ATCATCAGATGGTTCTTGTGTGATACCTGGCCATCATTTGGGACTGAACCAGCTGATATTAACTTGCACTGACAGGCTTGCTTTCTAATTTCTGAGAGAGTTCAGCTGGTGTCTTGTTTTTCCATGCCTTTTTACACCTCCCTTTCTTCATGTGTTCAATACTTTTTCCCTGTGCCATTCCACATTATTACAAATAACCATTTCTGGACATTTATGGTTTGATTTCTTTGTATGTATGGATCACTTGGGTTGTTACCGACATCAAACTCCCTATAACTCATGAATAATGATGAATCAACCTCTTACAGTAATGTATGTCTGACTTCTTGGTCATGACCCTGGAGGTGGTAACCAACTTTTATGCAGACAGAAAGGCCTCATATTGATAAGACACACCGACTCTCATTCTGTTTAAATCTTATGGCTGAAACGATCAGAAAGTATAAAAATACTCGACTGGATCTAACATTCAGTCATTCAGTCACAAAATTTCCTTCAAAAAAGCCCAGTAAATTCTTCAATTTTTTTTAGAATTTTTATATTGACAAAAACTTCCAAGTAGAAGAAAAAAAAATGTAGCTGTAACCAGCTAGTTCACTAAAGTCAAAACAGTTTGAGAAAACAAAGACAGAAGTTGGTACACATATAACCCCAATTTCAATGATGATGGGAAGTTGTGTAAAACATAAATACAAACAGAATACAATGATTTGCAAATCCTTTCACTGTGTACTCAATTGAATTCACTACAAGGACAAGATATTTAATGTTCAAACAGATAAACTGAATGAATGACACTTTATTGATCCAATGAAGGSAAATTACAGTTTGGAACAAACTGGAGTCGTCTACAGGTGAACAGGTTCATTTGAAACAGGTGAGTGTCATGATTGGGTATAAAGAGAGCATCCCTGAAAGGCTCAGTCATTCACAAGCAAGGATGGAGAGAGGTTCACCACTTTGTGAACAACTGTGTGAACAAATAGTCAAACAGTTTAAGAATAACGTTTCTCAACTAAATAGTCCATAATAAGCAGGAAGGCTGAAAACCAGCTCTGAATGTCCATGACCTTTGACCCCATTAAAAACCCACATCACTCTGTAGCACATGGGCTCAGGAGCACTTCAGAAAACCTGTCAGTGAGCACAGTTCACCTCTACATCTATAAGTCTCTCTATCATACAAAGACAAAGCCAGAAATCAACAACACCCAGAAACACCGTTGGCTTCTCTGGACCCGAGCTCAGCTGACATGGACTGACTCAAAGTGGAAAAGTGTCCTGTGGTCTGATGAGTCCACAGTTCTAATTGTTTGTGGAAATCGTGGACGTGGTGTCCTCCCGGACAAATAGGAAAAGGACTGTCTGTATTGTTATCAGCACAAAGTTCAAAAGCCAGCCTCTCTGATGGTATGGGGGTGCATTAATGCCCATGGCATTATCTGTGAAGGCTCCAGTAATTTGGAGCAACATTTGCTGCCATACAAGACACGTCTTTTTCAGGGACATCCTGCTGATTTCAGCAAAACAATGCCAAGCCACATGCTGTAGTAAAAGAGTGCAGGAACTAGACTGGTCCGCCTGCAGTCCACACCTGTCTCCCATTGAAAATGTGTTGAGCATGATGAAGAGACACTCGGACTGTTGAGCAACTTAAGTTGTTCAAGAACAAAAGAATTCCAGCTACAAAGCTTCAACATTTAGTGTCCTCAAACACTTATTGTTGTTAAAAGGTGATGGCAGTGTAAAAATGAGTGAATATTTGCAAAAGAACAATAAAGTTTATTTGTTTGAACATTAAATATCTTGCCTTTGTAGAGTATTCAGTTGAATATAGGTTGAAAAAGTTTTGCAAATCCACATTTTTATTTGTTTCACACTGTCCCAGTTTCATTGGCAATGAGGTTGTGACAGGCTAACTGCTAGCCCCACATGAATTTTTACTTCGATCACATTTGTTTAAAAAAAAATTGCTCCCTCAAGTTAACAATCTAAAAAACAATAAACAAAAAGAATAATAATAAAAACAAAGTTCTGACACATCTGTGCAAATATTTATCTACTGAAAAAAAATCTCTGAAAGCAACAAAACAGTTCAATGTAGCTGGAATATTTGTACATGTATATACACACATATCTATACTGAAATACTACATATAAATTTATGACCAGAGCAGACCACAAATCCTGCAGATACTCTGCACATCATTTACACACAGAATGAATTAGGCTGCCATCGATCACTGTCATGTTGATGCCGTTCCAATCTGTAGATGTATTTTTTCATTTGCTGATGGTTTTTTATTTATTTATTTATTTTTTACCATTTATTTTGCTGTTACTGGTTTCAGACAAATTATGGATTTTGACATATAATTTACAACCATGCCCCTTCATGAGATAAATTTGGTCTGTTTTACAACAAAGGTTAAATCCATTAGCTACATTCCTCATATTTACTGCCCTAAAATATTCTAGATAATTTATTCTAATTGAACAGTTTCTAATTACATCTTTCCGTATATTCCTTACATACCCTCTTAATATTTAATCTAGTTTTGTATTTTTATACTTTTGTTCTGCATTTTTAGTTCTAGCTTTTATGAATTGTTCCTTTATGGTATCCTTATTTTTAAACACATTCTTTAATCCTTTTGTGATCCATGGTTTGTCTGAGAACCTTTGTTGTTTGGCCTAATAAAAACCTCATTGTTCCGTTCAACTTGGTGTGGCTCAGACAGTTTTCCTGTGAAAGTGTTTCCCCAGCTCAAACGTTTTGTTTTCCTTGGTCAAATGGAGTTAGGTGGCTTCCTGACTTGACTGTGGGGCAGACTGGCAGTTTCACATCCATCTTTTGTAGAATGCTTCTCATAGTAGGATGTGGCTAGCTCCTTCCCTTTTTGCTCATGCCGTTTTAATTTCTCAGACAGGCTTTGGTAACCAGCATTTGGTCCCAACGTGACTGTTTTTTTTTTCTAGAAAATGGTCCCCATGATGTAGCAAAAACATGTCCATTAACACACACACACACCTTGATATGCAACCTATATATGACAATGGTTTGGTACAAATACATGTACTATTACACCCTTGCTAATAAGAACAAATTAAAACACAATGATACAGACTCCATCAACTCAGGCAGAATTGTTGGTGTTCTCTCTCTTTCTATCATGAATTATGCTATAAGGCCAAAAAATAGTATTTAGTTTATATT